AGAGAACTACAACAACGCATAACTAACCTATACCAGACAGAGCCACCTACAATACCCACCAACCACAAAACACAACCAAACACAAGGCTAATAAGCCACATATAACATATAGAACCTCGAGACGTTACCCTGAAGCAAAACGTCCGCGCTCACAATGACATCACGTCGACCAAACAACTACAAACCAATAGAAATACAAAAGCACAAACGCAGACAAGAAATCATCAGAAAACAGACAAAGAGCGCACACAAACCCACACATGCACACGCAACCCACTCCATACCCAGACTATACCCTAAGACGCACATGAGTCACGACACGACATCATACAAGACGGCATTCCAGAGATGGGGCCACAAAATGAAATAGTCTAACCTAAAAGTCAACAAATTACAATGACTCACCAAACCATCATAGCAATAGCTTCCGCATCTACAAAAACCCCAACCTTTCCATGACTCAGCACCAAAACAAACATACACAATTATTACAACAAGCAACAAATGACCCCTCTAACAAAACCGAACATCCACCAATAACCTTATACACCAACAACCACCTCTCACCACCAACACCACACCATAACGCATACACAACACACCACACACAGACACCATCCAGCAAACCATACACGAATAAATTACACACCACACAACATCGATACCAGAACACAAGAGCAGCCTAAAACCGAAAGATATATACACAGACACCAATAACACAAACCAACACAAAATACAAGGCAAACGACATAACTGCACCGAGGTCACAAAAGAAACACGCAAAACATACGACAACACAAAACGACATCCACAACACGAGAACACACACTACAACGTCTCCTAATCCTACCACACCACCGAAGGACAATAAAATATGCACCAAAACCAAAATACGCACACGATCCTCCCGCAGCCATATGAAAACCTATCCGGACAAAAACGAAAATTGACTACACCAAAACAACAAATCCAACACAAGTTACCATTACGAGTTTACTCGCATTCGCAGCAGAAAGGCCATACCACACCAAACATCCCCGACACTGCAACACACCACTCAGATACATACTTCACAGCTCTTGAAAGCCCGATTGCCATTACCGAACTCGCCCCATACTCTCACGTAATCCTGCCTAGAAACACACACACACAGACACACAACCAATCAGACAAACATCAAGTTACGTTGCAGCGCTAGCACGTGACACTTGACACCACAATTGACCACGTGGGTAACTTCCAAAATATTCACCACTTTAGTCATCCCCCCACCCCCCATACTTCACCAACCTCTCTCTCTCTTTCCTCACAGTTTCCCATCTGACTAAAATAAACTCAATTCGAAATTACTTAAACCTAATTGAGCTTAATTTGCCTTTACCTTTTTGCCTTTACCTTGACCTTTAACTCAACTCAACTCAACCTAACTTTAACCTGATTCAACTTCAACTTCAATTGCGTAATGTTTGGTTTCCTCTACCACTCTCTAACCCTTATTCCACTTTCTTTATCTGTTCTTGGCTGCTTCTCTATACTCAAAATACGTTAATAATCAACTCAAATGTCAAATTCCATTTCCATCACTATCACTGAAACTTTTTAAAAAATTTATTTTTAATATATAAGCACATCGAATAGTAACAAACCAGACTCTCTATTAATAACTTATTCATTTCCCACATTCTGATCTCATCTCATCTCATCTCATCTCATCTCCTTTATTTTTTAATTCTTATTTCCATTTTCATTTTCTTTCATACTTTCTCTTCTTCTATACACTCAACCAACTTCACTTTGTCTTGAAAAAATATAACTACACACATATATTACAACAATGGAGTATACGCTAAATAGACCACTATCCGGCCACCTAACAATCTGCACAACTCAAAACTGCCAGTTCTCAGATTACTACAACAAGGATGACACAACCAATAACGACAACAAACACACTTTCATCACTTTGACAGACTCAAACAATAACCAAACAAAGTTCGTCCAGTGTAGGAAATCAATCTCAAATGAAAGTAGTCCTACTAGTAGATTCAGCGACACTGACTTGTCTTCAATAATCATGAATCATAATGGCAAATTACGTTATCATCTACGTGGGAGCGACAGCTGTGACGACGACGATGATGACGATGATGATGAAGATATTGATATTGACAAAAATAACAACCCAAAAATTTCAAGAATATCCTCTTTGCCAAATTATACTTTCACAAAACATTCTATAGCTGGCTCTCCATGTCCTTGTCCAAGACACCACCACAGGCGGAATTCAACTGCTGTCAAATTTGATAAACCTTCTTACAAATAATAATTATAATGAATTCTTTCCCTCAAATAGCGCTGTCACTCCTCTCGAATGAATGAATGAATTAATGATTGATTGAATGAATGATTGAATGATTGAATGATTGAATGAAACTCTAGAAATATATTACAAGTAAATGTAAATAGTTACTTCAAAGGACAATTCGAATTCACTATGCATATGATATGAACTTTTGCTGCTTCAGTTTTATTAACATGTAAACTTTTTAACCTTATTATTACTTTACAGTCAATAGATATACATGTATATATAAATAAATAAAAAAACATATATATGAACGCATGTTATGAATGAATATTACGATTGATAATTTAACTTCATTATAATTTTACTATCTTATTACATATTAAAAACGATATCTTATCCTATCTATCTTAAAGTTATTTTTATATTCTATTTATTTTACTTTAGATTCTTTAATATTTTTTCTTTATCCTCAGTAGATAACATCTTTAGTACTTCAGATAATCCAGTAATTGCAACATCATGATCATTTCTAATACTCTTAGCTAAATCTTGGGCAAATGATTCCAACTTCATACCTTTAAATCTTTCTTCTAATGTAGAGTAATTCTCTTCGATCCATTTACAAACTTGTCTATCATCTTCGTGATTAACTGAAGCTGGATACCAGGATCTGATTCTTGCAATCTTTTCCAATCTAGTAGCGTCCTTCAATTCCTTATCTAATCTCTTGATCAAATATTCTTCATCTAATCTTCTTCTAATTCTCCAGAAGAAGTATCTACGAGCATTCTTCCATTCGATCTCCTTAGAGATAACACCCTTAGCTAACATACGACTTGGTCTGTCATGTAAATCGGCAAATTGGACTGTAACTTGGTGGTAAATTGGCATCAACTGCTTTTCTCTAGTAGCCAACTGTTTAGAAATTTCTTGTTGGTCTTCAGTAGAAATGTTAGGATCAGATAATTTGTTTTTCAAATCTCTGTATTTAGCGTCCAATCTGTTCATAGTAGCCAATAACTTTTCTCTACGGTACTTGATAGTGACCATACCTTCCGGTTCTAAAACACCAGCTCTAGCTTCACAATCAGCGTACATTTCCATTTGTTCAGGGTTAATAGTAGGGTCAACAACAACCCACGAACCACCTCTTAATTCACCAGTTGGTGGGATATAGATCATAACTGGTTGTTTGTAATCAACTAAAGCATCAACAATAAAGGAACCATATTTCAAGACTTCATTGTACATGTCCCTTTGACCACCTGAGAAACCTCTCCAATTGGCTAAAATCATCAATGGTAATTGTTCACCGTTGTTAAAATCGTTAATAGCTTGAGCGGTCTTGAATGCGGAATTTGGATACCAAACTTGACCGGCTTCTTGAATCAATGTTTCAGTAGAATCGGCATTAGCTGGATCAGCTGGTACCAAATTTTCAACCAACCTAGTCTCGACTGCAATAACACCCAATGGGATACCACCTAGACGTGCTCTACCGACAACGACACCTTTAGCCCATCCAGATAATGTTTCGAAGAATGAACCTTTATCGAATAAACCGTATTGGAAACCCTGCTCGCTGGAACGACCTTCAATCATCCATCTTACATCGTACTGTTCGTTAGATTCAGGCTTGTAATCAACATCTCTATCCCATTTATCTAAACTTTCAAAAATTGGGACAGGCATATTACGTTTGGCTGGAATATAAGATAACCACTGTAAAATTTTTTCAATACCAGCCATATCATCAGACGCAGTCAAATGAGAAACACCATTATTGTACATAATTTGTGTACCACCTAACTGTAAGTTGGATGCATAGACTTCCTTACCCAAGACCTTGTTAATAGCTGGAGCACCAGTTAAAATGATAGGTTGGCCTTCGATTTGAATAACTCTTTGACCCAACCTAACTAGGTATGCACCGATACCAACGGATCTACAAGTAACCAAAGTAATTGTAAAAATGTCATGATAAGCTCTTGATGTTGCACCGGCAATCAGACCAGAACCTCTCAAACATTCAACACCAAGACCTTCTTCAGAACCAATAATAGCCTTAATGACAAATCTTTCCTCGCCATTTTCAACAGATCTTTCAGTAATAACAGAATTTTCCTTGTCATACTTCTTTAATTCTCCCATATCTTCAGCAGTCAAGTACAAATATTCAAAGCCTTCACTTGGGTCATTTGCATTATTCCAAGCAACCTTAAACAATGGAATTAATTCCTCAGCAACACCAATTCTAGCACCAGAATTAGCAGATAAGTAAATTCTTGGGATACCACGCTTTCTGGCATATTCAGTAACCTTATTAAAGAATTCATCTTCTTGTGGGCCAAATGAACCAATTTTGAAAGTAATATCATTAGCAACTACAACAAATTGACGACCACGAGGATATTCTGGTGTTTTAACAGTAATCTTAAAGGCGACCATACCAATAGAATTAGCACCGGCTTCTCTTTCAACTTCAGTCAATTCTCCATTTTCATCTTCAATTAATTCATTTGAAACAAAAAAATTATCTGATAACTTAGCTTTTGAAGAATGTTTTGCCCATTGATTAGTTGCTGCTTGACGGAATAATTCTGGGAAATCATACACATATGTGGTACCCATTAAATGGGCTTTGTAACGCTTTGGTTGTAACCATTCCTTGACAGGGTATGGAGTTGCGATTGGTCTCAAGTGCATAGAACCTGGTTTACCCAATGACCTAAATATCCAGTCACCCCTAGCACTCTTAACTTCGGTATATAATTCAGCCTTAACTACATAACCTGAAACGTTGTTAATCAAAGCACGAAGTGGTACTGGAGTTCCAGTAACAGGATCTTTAATAATGATACGAATTTCAGCAGAAGAAACGCGCAATCTCAACAAACGCTTACCAAATCTTTCCAAGAAGCCGCCGAAGGCAGCTTCAACATCTTCTGGAGATACGTCAAAAACAGCTGAAAAATTGATGAAAATATGGTTCAAATCCGAATTAGAAGTGTCTATAATTTCCAAGTTATCCAAAATATCACTCATTAATCTATGAGCCTCTGAAGTTAAATATTCCTGGATGGATATCTCATCACGAATACTACCTGTTCTAATAATACCCCTAGTGAAAAATCTCTTATCTAATGGAGAAGTTTTACTAACTGCTTCGTAGACATGAATATTTCTATTCTCGGTAAAAATAGGCTTGATGTTAAAGTTAGACATTCTTCCTAATTCTAATTGGAAAGCTAAAGCAGGCTCGATGTGACGAATAGTCTCATCCTCAGCATAGTTTGGACCTTTGAAAGTGAAATACTTTGGATATGTACCGTCTTCATAACCGAACATAAAGGTAATACGACGGATTGAAGAATCGATTAGTGATTGTTTGTTAACCTCTAAAATTTCAGTTAATCTTTTTAAAACATCTTCTTCAGTTTCAAAACCTTCAACAGAATGAACATAAACATTGGCGACGTTACTTAATGAAGAGTTTCCATTTGATCTGGCAGGACCTGGACCACTTGATACACTTGGACGTGGAATAACTTCCAAACTTTGAGATAAAGCATCATCTACATCATCCAAATGTTCTGATGCAATTAACAAACCAGTTCTCAAAGGAGCATTTTCGCTATCGACCACGAAAGATAAATCTGATACAGACATTGCTCTATTCATACCCATTTTGTTGCTAATTGAAGGAGCAGCAGCAAAAGCAGCAGATGGCAATTGGAATTTCCATTCACAAACCGGATGGGTATATGAATCGTGAATTCTAACTTCGCCTACAGTATAAGCTCTGTAAGCACGGCGAACATAAACTTGGGCAGCAGCAGCAGCTACAGCTGGGTCAGAATTGCTTAAAAATGGAGTTAAAACATCGAATACTACAAAGTTAGAATCAATTAAAGATTTCAAAATTTCAGCATCTGGTTCCATACGTTTAGAATTTGCTTGACCATAAGCAGCCTTCACAACAGAAGACTTCAAAATGTGTTCAATTTGTTCAGTTCTCTCCTTAACAGTTGGTAAAGCACCTTGGATTAAGATTTCTCTTGCTTGTAATGCAATTTTAGCAGTTAATTTGGAATCTAGCTCCACAATATGTTGTAATGGTGGCAAAAAAGTTGAAGAAACCTCAGAAGACATTTTACAAAGTGGCTGATAGTGCTTTAAAATGGATAGCATTAAATTATTCTTGGCAGACACCTTCGCATGAGACAGCACTATTGAAACAACTCTTTCCAAATTTTCAGAATTTTCGTCACGTAATTTTAAAATTATATTTTCTTCTCTGACATTTGGACCTGTAAACAACTTTTCAACATTGTAGTACTCTTCTAAAAAGCCCACAAACACAGCGTGTTCATGTGCCTCTAAACCATTCTCATAACGTCTTGTAATATCAAATAGTGGTTCTACAGTAGCAGATAAAATAGATGCATCAGCTTCTGCTTGTTTTACACCAACCTCTAATATTTTTGTCAATTGTCTAGCTGGGAATGAGGCACCACGCTTAGAAGAACGTTCGACCAGTTGATTTAATTGATCATCAAGCTTACTTGGTAATCTAGCGTGTAACGCGGAAATGTTCATGTTCCATTCAGAATATGGTAATTCAGCATTTCTTAGTACTTCGATTAATTGTTGTAATGAAGAATTCATAGTAACTTGATTATCGTAACCATTTAAGATATTCTCTAGAGTTGAGACTAAGGATTTGAATTTGTAACCTGGTTTAGTTCCTTCGATTGTTGGAGAGCCATATTCAGGTAACATACCTTCAAATGGCAAAGCATGCTTGACTTTAGACGGATCATCTAATGTTAAAATTGCAATGATATCACCAGCAGATATCGTAGAACCTGGTTGTTTTAATAATTGTATGATACCACTCTCTTGAGCTACTAAAGGCATTTGCATTTTCATAACTTCAACTTCGGCATATGGTTGACCAGTAATGATATGTTCACCATTCTCAACAAGGAACTTAACCAATTTACCTGGAGAAGGTGTACGTAGTTGAGTTGGATCATTTTCAACTTCAAGTAAAGTTGATTTACCATCTACAGATAGTCTAGTTGCAGAAACTTCATCTTTCCAATAAATAGTATGTGACTTACCATCGATGTTAATCAATAAACCGCCGTCAGATAACTTGCGTACACGTACTTCACATTTAGATCCATTAATAAATAATGTATATTTGTCTTCAGCTGATTGGGCTACTGTGAATTTGTATCTTTTACCCTCATGGATGAATTCAACAGGGAACATAGTTTGTAACACTGATTTCTGAACCACTTGACCTCTCTTCAATGACGCAATATATTCTTGGTGACAATCCTCTGAAGCAATAAATGCTTTAGTTGCAGCACCACAAATAACTGCTAAAGTTGGATCTGGTTTTTCAGCTGTCATCTTCTGAGAAATTAAATCATCTAACCAACCGGTTGTTATAGTGTTATCTTCAAAATCCTCTGTTTCTAACAACTTAATTAAGTATTCTACTGTAGTTCTGAAATCACCTCTAATTGATAATTCCTTTAATGCTACTACCATATGCTTTCTTGAAGCTTGTCTATTTTCACCAAATGCAAATATATGACCGAATTGAGAATCTGAGAAAGAATGAATACCACCATTATTACCGACGGAGAAGTAACCCCAAACGTTAGAAGATGAACGGAAGTTTAATTCATGTAAAGTACCACCGGATGGTTTAAAACCTTCATTTGGATCTTCTGAAGTTATACGACAAGCAGTACAATGGCCCTTTGGAGTTGGTCTTCTTTGGGTCTTTAAAGAGCTGTCAGATTTGAATTCAAAATCAATTTCTGTAGCGGTATGAGGATTTAATCCGTATAATACTCTAATATCTCTAATTCTATGCATTGGGATACCCATAGCAATTTGTAATTGGGCTGCAGGTAAATTTACACCACTGACCATTTCTGTAGTTGGATGCTCAACTTGTAATCTTGGATTTAATTCCAAGAAATAAAATTTATCATCCTCGTGAGAGTATAAGTACTCTACAGTACCCGCTGAAACATAACCAACCAATTTACCTAGTCTTACAGCGGCTTTTTCCATTTCGGTGAAAGTAACATTAGGAGCGATAGTTACAGGAGCCTCTTCTATAATTTTTTGATGTCTTCTTTGAACTGAACAATCACGACCGAATAATGAGATATTCGTACCATATTGATCGGCTAATAATTGTACTTCTAAATGACGGGCATTACCAGCCAGTTTCATGATAAATATTGGAGAACCTGGAATTTCATTTGCAGCTTGGTGATACAAAGAGACAAAATCTTCTTCTCTTTCTACTTTTCTAATACCTTTACCACCACCACCTTCGGAGGCTTTAATCATAACTGGGAAACCGATTTTTTTAGCCTTTACTAGACCATCTTCAGGAGATGAACAACAACCTTTTTCATAAATATCATCATCGACTGATACAAGACCGGTTTGATCATCGATATGGACCTTGTCGACACCAGTACCTGACCAAGGAATACAAGGTACCTTAGCATGTTGAGCAACAATTGTACTTGAGATTTTATCACCTAACGATCTCATAGCATTACCTGGAGGACCAATAAATATTACTTTTCTCTTTGATTGAGTTAATTTTTCAGGTAAATGAGGGTTTTCAGAGGCATGGCCCCAACCTGCCCAAACAGCATCGACATCACATCTTTCAGCGATATCTACGATTAAATCCACGTTTGCATAATTATTGTTATTTGTACCACCTGGAACTTCGATATATTGATCTGCCATTCTAATGTATTCAGCGTTTGCTTCTAAATCTTCAGGAGTAGCCATTGCTACGAATTGGACAATTCTTTCGTTACCAAAAGTTTCGTACGCCCATTTTCTTACTGATCTTATTTCTTTTACAGCAGCGATACCGTTGTTTGCTATTAAAACTTTTGAGATTATGGAATGACCACCATGACTTTTAACGAATTCTTTTAAATCAGATTCCTCTGAGTTATTGATTGTATTTAAACCTAGGAAATGAGGAGGTAAATTAGAATGTTTGCTTGAATAATCGGTTACTTCGTATTGTGGTTTTTCAATAGAAGAATCGAAAAGGTTTTCTTCACTCATGATGAGAATTTAGTAATCCAGAAGAGGTGAAAAAAAAGGATAATAAAATAAAAAAGAGATATAGAGATAGTGAATGAAAATTGTGAAGATTATATTAGACTAGACTATAAGGTTATAGTTATAATCTAATTTAGAATCGAGGGTAGCAAAAGGTATTTACAAAAGTTTGAAATATAGATACCAAAGTAAAAAAATTCAAACGGACTTCTAATTCTAATCTTGAGTTTATCTATATCTTTTATTATTAGATTATTCAATGATTATTTTGTATTTTTCTTCCTTCTTCAGCCTGTATTTATAAATTGCTAACAGAATTTCCACACAATGAATTAGTACTATACTAACTGGAATAAAATGAGATGAATTGTAAATATGCAATTGATAGTTAGTATACTGATTTGAAAACGTGAAGCCACAATTATAATAATAATTGCAATAGCAAATGTAATAGTGTATTACACAAATATGAAATTTGAAAAATTGTCTCTTAAATAAAATCCAAACCAAACCAAGCCAAACTAAGCTAAGCTAAACTAAACTAAACCAAAAAGAAATAATCGGTATTACAATTGTTGCTGTGGTAGAAGTAGAAACTCCAAGTGGGTTAGATTAGAATTTTTAATTTACCTCTTGTCCTTCAGCAATTAACTAACAGTTTCGAAACGAAAATTGAGATATGTTTTAATTTTTCAAATTTCGAAATTTTGGATTTCGAACTGTTTTTTGCTTTATTATGGGTGGTCCGTGTGTATAGGAGGAGAGAGGAAGAGAGGGAACGGGAAAAGGAAAGAGAGAGAGAGAGTTGGGTAGTAGTGTTAAAGTTCAGTTCCTTTTCTTTGTTGTTTCTATTGTTGCAGTTCAAATTAACGCATGGAAAGCTCAATAAATACAGAGAGAAGTAACAAAGAGGTCAGTTGAACCATTTGCAATTGCAATTGAGATTTCAGACTTTGAGATTTGAGATTGCAAGGTCTGGTCTAATCTAGTCTAGTCTGCTCTAGTAATGATAGGTATCGTTGCCTATCTCTCTCGCTCTTACGCACTTTTTTCCCTTGATCTCTTGTCGTTCTCTCTGTTCGAAGGCGGGAACAGGGTAGGATACGACACGGTACAACACGACGACATGCTAAGTATTGGTAATTCTCTGGGTATGTCATTCTAACTAGTGGTTGCTCCTTCACAGTAATGCAAGCATGGATATGTATTTGTGTTTGTATTTGTATATTATATTGATATTTATATTTATTATCTGCTTAAACCAAACGAGACAATAAGCAAACTGATTTGATTGTAGTCTGTGCGCAGTTAGAGGTAAGTGTGCATTGGGTAAGATGTGATAATGATAATCCATGTAACAATCAATCCGATCACATGCTGGGAGGAGAGAGAACAATATTTCGAAATTTAATTTTTGAGTATCATAAAGTTAACAAGTAAAAAATAGTTTATTATACATACGATCTGTACACCTTGTGTTTATATGGGGACGTGGATGTGGATCTGATAATAGGAGTGGTATGATACAAGTACCTGTAACTAAAAAAAAGACACACCTATTTATATAGACAAGACAAGATTTCTGTATCCATATATATATGAATATGAACATGTTCTAGTTATGTAAAATATGTACGTATGCAAAGCAGGTTAAAAGTGGGAAAAGCCAAAAATTAAGATAAAAAACACACACCAAGGCCACCAAAGAAAGGGGGATTGTATCATAGTGATGGCTACTGGATGTAATCCAGATCAGATACAGTGGTTGCCGCCCACAGGCATCTTTCTTGAAGTTGTATCAACATTTTTTCAGAACATACAATACAATACAATACATGCATGAGAGAGATATAATTGTGAGAAAAAAAAATGATGAATGGGATCGCATGGGATGTATAACTCCTAATGAAATGAAATGAAACAAAACGAATTGGACTGAATTGAATTACACTTGAACCAAATGAGATGTAGAATGGAATGAAGTTGGAATATCTGAAATTTCTGTTGGATCACTTAAATCAATCTTGATTCAAATTGTGATACAGTTGTGGTCTTGAATAGAATAATCAGGGTACTGCTATTGCAAGACAATGGCAAGTAGGGAGGATATAGGAATTGGTTGAAACTGGGGACATAATGCTGTTTTGGCTTGTCTTTTGTGACACAATTTAGCTTATTTAGCTTATTTTGCTTATTTTGAGTTGGTGGTGGTAAAGTATAATAATAGAACCATTTTCCCAGCGCAAGAGAAGAAGGTGTCTGAGTTCAGTTATTTGGTACTGTTCAATTGGACAGGACCGGTGTCTAAAAAGTTGGTGATGGTGGGTAGGATACTCTATTCTTCGCCATTAATGTCTGACTCGGTATAAGATGTATGTATGTATGCGTGTAATTGTATTCCGTGGAATCTTGTAGTAGATATCACCTTTAGACATGCTACTAAAACAAGTTGCAGTTTGTAGTGTAGATGCAACTGTTGGTGTTTTTGTTGAACTCCGGAGGTTACCCTGATTGTTTTTAATACCATTACGAGTTTGGCAGAGTGTAGCAAACACGCACTTGTCACACAGAGAAGAGATGATAGTAAGGCGAATGTATGTATGTATTGGCATTGACATGCATTGGTGCTTGCTTTCACTTGAGCTAATTTTTCCAGCCAAGCAAAACGGAAAAAACAGAAAACTGGTTGGTTGGATCGTTGGTTTGGGTGGTTGTTGAACTTTTCCGTTGCTTTGGTCAGTGGGATTGTCTGGGTGTATGCTTCCTGAATCCCTGTGGACAAAACCAAACAACAGATTGACGTCAGGTCGGTTACCTGGGGCCAGATGATAGAGCGACGGAGGCGTTTCCACCAGACTGAGAGGTGAAAGTGCAGGTGCAGGTATATTCCCACATACGTTAAGTGTGGTGTCGTGTGGTTGGCTAAGAAGTAACGTTACAATGAGATCAGAGAGGACTGGACTGGACTGGACTGGACTGTCTATCTCTTTGTTGCTTTTTTTTGTGTTTTGGTTGTCTGTGGCGGGTAACATATTTTTTGCATGTGAATATTGTACTTTTTGAAATTTGTATTGTTTCAACATAGCTTCATACGAATTAGTAAAGATCTATGACACCAGATAATACGTGTTGTTATGGTTGACACATATAAAGACTAATAGTGACTGCTATTTGATTCAATTGTATATTATTGTATATTATTTACTTACTCTGTACATTAGAAGAAGAAGATATAGAACTCTTTAATAATAAATATACTTATTAACAGTACTAGTCTCCACAAGATAGACGAATAGAATAAAAGCAATACCAAGCACTTATTCAACGTACGATTACTAGATATCTATAAATTAAGAATTCACAACAAAGAATACAAATTGTAAATATCACATGGTTATCACGTGAGCTGTTTTCATCCAATGCGTCATTTAGTACGGGACCTTTCATATTTGATGTTTTTGTCACATGACCTCCTTTGGTTTTTTTCGTCAAGTTTTCTTTTCTTGTCTTCCATACTAATCCGAATCCGAATCCGAATCCGAATCCTCTGCCTTTCCTCCCCTCGCCGACAAATATCACTCTATTCCCACCCAATATTGGGTCCTCTAGTACTGCAAAAATTGCTTATAATTTTTCTTCGTTATAATTTTTTTTTTTGCCTTCTCTTGTCCAGGTTACAACGCACTGACAAACCTACTATGAGCAAAGCAAATTTCATTTTACTTACATTACAATCTTGAATTGATTTGAAGATAAATCTGACAATTATATTGTCTTACACATTTCACTGACATTGTAAAAACTATATACTACTTTTTGTTACGCCTAATCATTGAAAACTACGTTGAATACATATATATATATTCATATATACATACGTTCATACTCTCACAAATCTACATTGATATCGTTCTTTCGCATTTGTATATATATTTACCAATAATATCATTATAGAAACTACAAGTACAAATTAAAACAAATGTCCTGGATATTCGGTGGTTCAAATAACAATCAAAAACAAGAACAAGATGATAAATCGTTAGAAAAAAATTTAGGTTTCGATCCTTCTCAATTGACTAACGTCTCAAACATTATAGGTACTTCTTCTTTAGATCCTTCGAGATTACATCCTCTTGCTGGTTTGGAAAAAGGTGTAGAGTATCTGGATTTAGAAGAAGAACAACTATCCACTTTAGAAGGTTCCCAAGGTTTGATCCCTTCTCGTGGTTGGACTGATGACTTATGTTATGGTACTGGTGCCGTTTATTTACTAGGTTTGGGGATCGGTGGTTCTTATGGTTTCATCGAAGGTTTGAAAAATATTACTCCAAATTCTTCTGGTAAATTACAGTTAAATACAGTTTTAAACCACATTACTAGGAGAGGTCCTTTCTTAGGTAACAGTGCCGGTGTCTTAGCATTGACTTATAACATCATCAACTCATCAATAGACTCATTTAGAGGGAAACATGATACCCCAGGTGCCATCCTTGCTGGTGGTTTAACTGGTGCTATCTTTAAATCTTCAAAAGGTTTAAAACCAATGGCTTATGCTTCAGGTATGACTGCTGCCGCTGCTGCTTTATGGAGTGGTGCTAAGGATACTGTTTTGGAATAAGCTATGCATGATATCTCAATCCAGATAAAAATAAAATTTTATGATCATATATGAATGAATTAAAGAAATATATATATATAAGAAATAGTGAAAAATAAATTAAAAGGGAATCGGACAACAAAATTTGAAGTAACCAAGTGATCAAAAAAAATGAATAAATTATAATAATAATAATAATAATAATGATGATGATAATGATAATAATAAAGTCCTAATACTATTTCCTAAATGGCATGCTTACATTTCGGTTGAATTATAATGTTCTTTTGTTGCTAGTTCTATCATTTGATCCCCCTCTTATTTTCATATTATAATAATTATTACTATTATTATTTCAATCATATTTAACATATATATTTGTACTTGTATATAAAAATAAAAATGTGTACTAATGTTACTATCATTCCGGTTTTAAACTGTTAACAATAAAGTCAAATTTTAATTATCAACACTGTCTGTTTTTAACAAATTGTCACATTTTCAAGATTCAAAAAGTAGTAGAATCAATGATACTCGAATTTAAAATATCCAATCCTAACGAATAGTTATCCATATTTGAACCATCAAGTACGCTAACCCTATATGATTTTAATTCGTTGATTAATCCTTCAAAATCAATTCGAGGGAACCTGGCACCTTCAAAAGAATCATCCATTTTCTCAATACCATTAAATACTATTAAATTTGGAGTATTGGGCTTAATCATTATTGTACCTTGATGAAATATATTTTTAGTTGAACTTTCAATTATTTTTGATTTAACAAATTTAGGATTCAACCCTTTATCTAAGAGTATTGCCGCTATACCGCTAACACTGGGTGATGCCATTGAAGTTCCTGATAATAGTAATACGTCACTTCCGTTAATATGAGAAAGCGATTTAACTTTAACACCAGGTGCAAACACATCAACACAGCTGCCCCAATTGCTAAATCTTGCAATGGTTTCAGTCCTGTCATCAAATGCTCCTACAGTGATGACATCTTTTGATGATGCTGGACTATTCCAACAAGCATCGATGTTAGAGTTCCCGGCTGCAACAACCAATACTATTCCAGCATTGTGTGCTTCTTTTATAGCTTCGTCGATAATCGCAGTTCTTATAGCTCCGAAGCTTAAATTAGCGACACATTTTTTATCTACTGACTCTTTGCAATGGCGAATTGTAAATTCTAAGGCTTTCAATATGGTAGATAATTGACCTTGTCCTTTCTTATCCAAAGCTTTGACATCGATGATATTAACCTTTTTGGCAACTCCAAAGGTCTTAGAACCTACAATACCTGCTATATGAGTACCATGACCATTTTCGTCACCTGGCCCTTCCTGAGTTAAATCTATTGCAAATTTAACTCTACCTTCGAATTCAGGATGTTCTTTGTAAATACCGGTATCAATGATATAAGCATTGACAGAAGAACCTTGATATTTAGCGTCGAAATAGTAATCAAATGCATTGTCATATCTATCAATATTATTTATATCATACGGCAGTTGTCCTCTTCTTGATAAGCGACTTAAATGACGAGGTGCTTCCCTCTGAATAATTATTTTGTCACTATATGTCAGTAACTCAGAATATGTGGAACTGTTAGCAAATGCATTTACCTTAAGGTTAGGTATGATTTCTGATATTGTAGGGTTTTTCTTCAACTTTTCGATCATATCATTTGGAAGGTCTATAACTAATGCTCTAAAGGCACCGAATGTAAAACGTTCTCTTATATGATTTTTAATATCATCTTTAATTTGCAAAGATTGGGATTTTGTAGATTTTAAAAATGACTGTATTGATTCTGATTTTTTTAATTTAATCAAGTATTCTTCACCGACGATTAAAGGACAAATGTATAATAATAAAAGGAAACGTATTGTTGTTTTCATATTGAGAAAAGCAAAGCTCTTGAATTATTGATTTGTATATTATAATAGAACCAGTTTGCTAATTAACCATTATTTAAAATTAAGATGTTCATATTTATTGTACATTCTGGTTATAATAGTAATAGTCATCAAAAATATAGTGGCGCTGTCACAAACTATTAAATAGGAGCCAGTTTTAAATTCCTGTCACTTTATAACTCAAAAGTAATGAATAACAATATTAATAAGAAATAAAAATTAAAGATGATTATATGACGTAAAGATATAATAAATTAATGTACATGAAATGACTATATGGTTTGGGTTTATTAATAATGGATCTAATGTTATTGTGGATCTTTCTAGTGAAGCTAGATTTAAATATAAATTTAAGTTTAAAACCTTGGTCTTCTCTTTCTACCAGTAAACTTAGAATCTTGGGCGACCTTTCTACCACGCTTTTTCATTAAGTCTTTCTTTCTTAAAATATAATTTTTCCTCGATTCAGCATCTTTTCTGAATTTTTTACGAGCAACTTCTAAATTGTCAGCATCCATCGTTACACCTTGTAGATTAACTTGTTCATCTGAACTTTTTGGTGAACCTGAAGTTAAAACTAGATAGTATTTTTTATTTTTTTTAGATTCTGGATCGTCAATGACCAAACCACCACTAAAACCTGCAACTTTAGCAGTTTGTAGAATTTGATCGATTTGATCATCATTTTTTGGATAAAATTGTGCTGCAAATTTACCACCTTTTTTCAAAGCAGCAAACAAAGTATTAAAAAATCTCATTAATCTCTTTTTTGGATCATTATAAGAAGTATCGGCATTACATAACCATTGTATAGCACTTACACTAATGGCAGCGTCGAAAGAGCCTGCTCTGAAGGGAATACCTTGACCCATATCGTGTAACATCAAATCACCTTCGATGTCTCTTGTCAAAGCAGTTGCTAACATACTTGGTGAAATATCTAAACCACACCACATATGGCCCTCCTCTGTTAAAATTTCACCACTTAGACCTGAACCACAACCAATATCTAAAATGAAAGAATTTTCAGGTAAATTCATCAGTTCTAAAGCACGTAGAGTCATTTTAGCTTGAATATGTTGCACTCTTGTAGAAGAAGTATATTTCTTTGATTCTGAATCATTGTAAAAAAATTCTGGTGGAGCTAAATCTTCTGGACGAGACATTTCTTAACTGTATATATGAGTTCTCTTTGTATAATGAGTAAATAGGTTTGTAATCTAGATAGCAACTGTTAAAATATACCTATGTAGTACTATAAGAAGGTGTGAGTTGAAGATTGATATAATAAAACATTTACATATGCTTCGACGGAAACTAAGCTCATCTCATCTCATCTCATCTCATCTGATATCAACTTTTTTTTCCACTTTTAATTTTTCAGTGGTGGAAAATATCCAAAACGGTTAATAGTGATGAAACAGCAAAAAAGTAGTGTGAAGTGAAGTATAGTAAAGTACAGTTGAGTGTAGTATAGATAACCAAAAGATGTTTCTACCAGTGATGGGGGGAACACAAGAGATGGAGAGTATACTAAGAATTATTACTATGAGATACCGATACCATTCATCCAAAGTATACTATATCTAAATAACCACAAGAATAGGATAGTTTTTATTACTGTTTAATTGCATATACATAATTGTAAATATATTTATATGTATGGTAGTTTCGTCTGGTCTGAGCTACCTAACGTGTTTTTCAAGTACCCAGGATATATGTATCCTTATAAAATGACAATATCATGTTGTCATTACATTATTTCACCCAATTTCGTTATAGTTATATTCAAGAATGATGAGATGAGATGAGATGAGATAATAAAAATCGTAATCAATTCATTATTGATTTTAAACAAGGAACGTGTCTTGAGGCTGTATTTAACGTAAGTAGAGTGTCGCTCTTCTTAGCAGAGCTAATACTGACTGCCCGCCCCATTGGGGGACAAGGAGTGTGGATTAGTAAAGTCTACTCTCTTCTCTTCTTGATTGCGATACTTTTCACAGTTGCTATATATCTTGATTGTATAGTAATTGTATGTATGAGTGTATGTATGTCTGGTTTGTTATCAAACCCTAGCTCGAACCTGTGCTCTTCGGATAGGGCTTTAAGTTTTTCCGAAACATACACATATAGGGTCTGGTCAGACAGGCTTATCAACCACTAGGGTTCGAATTTTTCTCATGGCTATGTGTCCCCCCCCCCCCCCCCCCCCCATCCCTCCCTCTCCACGAGAACCCTTTTGCAATTTATCTGGTATTGAATTGTTTTTTTGTCATATCAAAAAAGGAAGTCGTCTTGATGATATCGATCGAAATTTAAAGGAACAAGAACAAGAACAAGAACAAGAAGAGATCAGAAAAAACCTCACTTAGTATACAATAATAAGCCCTATTTTACCTGGAAAAATGTAGTTTTTATATCTATAAATATAACTCACTCTCACTCTCTACTGTCAGTAATAATAATAATAACAATAATAACTAGGATATATATCCATTATTGCATTATTGTATTCTTGCTGATTTTTAATTCTCTTTTATTTTTTTGGCTACATATAAATAATTTGATACTAAGGCAACACTTATCACTTCAGTACTCTGAAACAAGCATATCTATTTATTCTGTAGTTAGTTAAAGATCAAATTCAAAGACTATATTATAGATTGATATTTTGCAACAAGAATAAAATAAAATAAAATAAAATAGAAATAAAGGTAGTTTTTTTGCCCTCCTCATTTGCTTTCCTCCTTTCCTTTTTTATTATAACCATTAATTATTATATACTATAAGTGACAGATCAAGATAATAGATTATCGTATGTTCGAGTTTGGTGAAGCAATTTCCATAACTCATCTGGCTTATTTGGTATTCCAATCTGTTTTCCAAGTCGTTATAATATGTTTGGCAGGTTTTTGGAGTGCCTACATGGGTCTACTACCTAAACAATCTCAAAAAGTAGTATCTTTATTAAATGTAGATTTATTCACTCCATGTCTAATTTTCAGTAAATTAGCAAAATATCTATCATTAGCAAAAATATTGGAAATTTCAATTATACCGTTATTTTTTGCACTAAGTACAAGCATTTCATACATTTCAGGGAGATTCATTTCAAATATATTAAAACTAGACGTCGATGAAACAAACTTCGTCGTAGCTAACTCGATTTTTGGTAATAGTAATTCTTTACCGGTGTCCTTAACTTTGTCTTTAGCATACACTTTGCCAAATTTAACTTGGGATCAAATTCCTGATGATAATAGAAATAATGTGGCATCTCGTGGTATTTTATATCTATTAATCTTCCAACAAATTGGTCAAATGTTGAGATGGAGTTGGGGTTATAATAAATTAATGAAATGGACTGGTGAGAATCATCATCATATGCCTCAATCACAAATTCAAGCACATCTAGAGGCTTCAAGACAAAATGCAAACCCTTATTCGGACGAGGATGGTGATGATAATGGAAATGCAGAAGATGGCATAAACGATTTGATAGATGCAGGACATCAAAATGGTCTAAATTCAGTTTTATCAAGAATTGGTAATAATTTTATCAAATTCGTTAACGTTGTTAGATCATATTTGAACCCGCCTTTATATGCAATGATCATTTCTGTTATTGTCGCATCTATCCCTTCTTTACAAAATGAATTGTTCATGGAAGATAGTTTTATGAATAATACTTTCTCTTCTGCCATTACACAAATCGGTTCTGTCTCAATTCCATTGATTTTAATCGTATTAGGCTCTAATTTATATCCATCAGATGACACCTTCCCAAGAACCCACAACCACGATAAAATTGTCATGGGTGCTCTAATAGGTAGATTGATACTTCCATCGTGTATTTTGCTACCAATAATCACTATTTTGGTCAAATATATTAAAGTCAGTATTTTAGATGATCCTATCTTTTTAATTGTGGGATTCTTACTGACTGTTTCACCACCAGCAATTCAATTAACACAAATTACACAACTTAATGAATTTTTTGAAGCTGAAATGGCAAGTGTATTATTCTGGGGTTATGTCGTCTTCAGTTTGCCAGTTAGCATAATTGTTATAACTGCTGCTATATACGTTTTACAATGGGCTGATAGCTAGTTCTTTTTGGTTTAACATTATAATTAAAAAAAAATAACTACACGAAATTTACAGGTTATGTAATATTAATAATACTAATAATAAGAATAATAATAATAATAAAATAATGATAGTAATATATAGAAAGATATATAAGCATAGATTATAATGAATGAAATTCAATACCTTTGTTATGTTGTGTTGTGTTATATTATTTCTATGACCTTAAACAACACTTTGAATCGATAAATATCTAAATCAAAAGAAGTTATCAATCCAATAGGTTTGATAAGAAAATGATGAACGGGAAATGGCTGCAAAATAGAAGCAACATTGACCCCTGTTCTCTTTGACTTTGGCTAATTTTTGCTTGAAATATAGAGTATTGGATACTGACATTGCCTTAAAATGGTATAGTTTATATATTGAAACTTGGGAAACTTACCATAATTTGCCGCTAACTGCACAGTTTGTATCCTAAAATAAATCACTTTTCACGTGCTTTGTCATGCAAACGCGTAAATAATTAAATTAAATATTTGCAAAATTACGCGTTATCATCAACAAATCTGATAAAGTACCGGCACATCATCAATTATCAGATATATATCATCAAAGTTACATATAAGAGAAGAAGTTAATATATTCTTTTCCTATTATATATGATCTAAACAAGGAGAAGACCTGTGATCGAGGTAATTGTTTCGAATTTCAAGTCATGTACATTCATCGTATTGTGATAAAAGGTTTCAAAACATATAGAAACGAAACTGTCATTGACTTTTTCTCACCTAATTATAATATTGTTATTGGTTCCAATGGTTCTGGTAAATCAAACTTCTTCGCAGCAATTAGATTTGTTTTGAGTGATGATTATTCAAATCTGAAGAGGGAAGAAAGACAGGGTTTGATTCATCAAGGGTCTGGCTCTGTGATGAGTGCTTCTGTAGAAATTGTGTTCAGAGATCCTGGTCATAGAATGATACTACCGTCTGGTGTTGTCCCTAGAGAAAATGACGAGATCTTTATTAGAAGAACTGTTGGTTTGAAGAAGGATGATTACCAAGTTAACGATAGGAATGTCACCAAGAGTGATGTAGTGAGGATGCTTGAAAGCGCAGGTTTTTCTATGAGTAATCCTTATAATATTGTTCCACAGGGTAGAATCATTGCTGTTACAAATGCAAAGGATAAGGAAAGATTGCAACTACTAGAAGATGTAGTTGGTGCAAAATCATTTGAAAGTAAATTACGTGCTTCACTAAAAAAAATGGATGAAACAGAACAAAAAAGGAAGAAAATTTCAGAAGAAATGAGTGAGTTGAATAAAAAACTGGGTGATATGGAAGAAGAAAGGAAGGAGTTAGAGAAATTTAACGCTTTGGAAGGTAAACGTAAAGTACTGCAATTTACCTTATATGACCGTGAAATTAACGACATTATTAATCAAATCGAAGGATTAGATTCCGAGTATAATAATATCTTGGCGTCATCAGAGGAATATCTTCAGCAATTAAATAAAAGAGAAACCGTTGTCGAAGAAATGACAACAATTTTGCAAGATATTGATGCTTCGTTGAAACTAAAAGGTACCACTGAATTGCAACAATCCAAAATTAAATACCAAGAACTATCCAATGGGCTTGTTGATTCTCAAGTTAAAATGAAAGAAATCAAATCGCAATTAGATTCTCAAACTGAGCAATCCAAAATAGATGAAAAAAATTTAAAAATTATAGCAGAGGCCATAAAAGAAAAGCAAAGTGAACTGGGAAAGATTCTTCCAAGATATGAACAACTAAACCAAGATGAAGCAAAGTATAAGAATGAATTATTTGACTTGAAACAAAAGCAAAAAGAACTAATGCTAAAAAGAGGTAGCTACGCACGTTTCAAAACCAAAGAAGAACGTAACGAGTGGATTCATTCTGAAATAGAAGACTTGCAAGAAGAATTAACAAATTTGGAAACAACAAAGATAACATTGGCTGAAAGAAGGAATGAAATTCAAGAAGAGCTTAAAACTTATGAAGAGCAAATTGATGAATTGCTGGATTCTGTTCAGGGTCCGGGTGTTTCAGCTGAATTAGAAGATTTAAAAAGTGAAATTGAATCACTAAAGTCTAGTTATGCAGATAAATTTGACGAGAGGAAAGAATTATGGAGAACAGAACAGAAATTACAAACAGTTCTTGAAAATATGGCAGATTCAGTGAAAAGATCAGAAAGAGCAGTCAATGAGAGCATGAGTCGTAGTTTGGCAAATGGTATAGCTAGTGTTAAGGAAATTACAGAAAAGCTTAATTTGCCGGATGACGCTGTCTTTGGTACCTTGGGTGAACTTATTAAAGTAAGTGAAAAATACAAAAGATGTGCTGAAGTTATAGGTGGGAACTCTTTATTCAATGTTGTTGTTGATACTGAAGAAACAGCGACAATTATTATGAACGAGCTATATCACATGAAGGGTGGAAGAGTGACATTCATGCCATTAAATAGAATACATGTTGATAATAATATTACTTATCCTCCAAATGAACAAGCATCATGCACTCCATTAATAAAAAAAATTAAGTACGATGTAAGATATGAAAAGGCTGTCAAACATATTTTTGGCAGAACGATTGTCGTAAAAGATCTTCTGGAAGGTTCAAAGATTGCAAAGAAATTAAAGTTAAACGCTGTTACATTAGATGGTGATAGAGCAGATAAAATGGGTGTTTTAACTGGTGGTTACCATGATCAACATAAGAAGACAAGATTAGACACATTGAAAGAATTAAAGGTCTCGAGACAACAACACATACGGACCTCAAAAGAATTAGAAGATGTTAGAGAAAAGCTACAGGTATTGGACTCAGAGATTGATAAATTAAATGATTCTATAAGAAAAGCTACCAATAATCGTGAAGCAATATTGACCAATATAGATAGTTTGAATGTGAAATTAAATAATTTGAAAAATGAGAAGAATTTACTTGAAGAATCCTCTTCATCTTCTGAAAACAAATTGGAAAGAACAGAAGCTTACTATCTGACAACTCAAACAAAATTAGAAGCCTTTAGACAAGATTTAGATCTTCCTTTCGATAGTGAACTATCGCCTAAAGAAAAGGAAGAACTAGAAAATATCACTACATATTTGACTGAATTGACAGAAAATTTTGAAGTAACTGTGGAAGCTTTAAGTGGTTTGACTATTCAAATCGATTCGCTGAAAGCAGAATTAAATTCGAAATTAATTCCACAGGAAAATGAATTGAAATCTAAGTTATCGAAAAACCATGATACACATTTCAATGAATTGCGCGGTGAGTTGAAAGCAATTGCTATTGAAAGTCAATCTCTTGAAGATCAAGTTGAATTGGCAAGATCTGAGCTTGAGTCATTAGAAAAGGAAATTAGTAAATTAAATGATGAAAAGGTAAATAGTCGAAAAATGCTTGAAAAAGCAAACTCACAGCAAAGGATGATATTGAAAAAGTTGGATGCTTATCAACTTGACGCCGAAAAATTCATGATCAGGAAGGTGGCTTTATCAAATAGACGTGAAGAGTTGCAGATTAAAATGAGGGAGATTGGATTACTTCCAGAAGAAGGCAGTGGCAACTTTGAAAATTCCACGAGTTCGGATCTGTTCCAGGAATTGAATTCAGTCAATGAAGAAATGTCATCATTAACTAACGTTAACAAGAGGGCGTCAGAGAACTTTAGAAAATTTAACGAAAAGAAAATTGAATTAAATGAAAGAGCCGCAGAGTTAGATGACTCTAAAGTGTCGATTCAGAATTTGATAGAAAAGTTAAAACAACAAAAGGTAACTGCAGTTGATTCTACATTCAAGAAAGTTTCTGAGAATTTCTCAACTGTTTTTGAAAAGTTGGTACCAAGAGGCACTGCAAAATTAATCATCCATCGTCAAGAAGAGAATAAAACCCGATCAAAGGATAAAAATAGCACCGAGTCTATTTACTCTGGTATTTCTATTTCAGTATCGTTCAACTCTAAAAAAAATGAACAACTACATGTGGAACAGTTATCTGGGGGACAAAAAACTGTTTGTGCAATTGCCCTTATCCTTGCAATACAAATGGTGGACCCAGCACCATTCTATCTATTTGATGAAATTGATGCTGCATTGGATAAACAATATCGTGCTGCCGTTGCAGATGTGATTAAATCACTATCTGGCAATGCACAATTTATATGTACTACATTCAGAACAGATATGTTGCAAGTTGCAGATAAATTTTTCCGTGTAAAATATGAGAATAAGATATCTACAGTTGTTGAAGTAGAAAGACAAGAGGCAATTAATTTCATCAGGGGAAATAATAAGATCCAAGAAGTTTAGTACTAAAAGTTGATGTACTTTATTTGGTAAGACACAATAGTTAATTTGTCCATCCCTGTTTCTATAGTTAAGATCTATCAAAAAAATCCAATAATAAGTACAAATGTGTATGTATTAGTAATATCTATATAATTAAATTAATGCAAGGTGAATGTTAGCTTTTTCTCTTCGAATCCTCAATCAAGGAAGCGAATCCACCACTAACCTTTTTCTTCTTTCCTAACTTTTGACTGGCAGACTTGATGCTGATGTATCCATTATCATCATCTGAGCTATCAGAATCGCTGTCACTAGAATCGCTCGAGTCACTTGAATTGCTATTTTCAATTGCATCCGAACTTTCAGAAGACTCTTCTTCAGATTGAATTTTGCTCAGGTTTTGCTGCTGTTTCGATGCAAGCAGCTTGAAATTTTTCTCTCTGACCTCTGGAACACCTCTCGAGACTAAATCTGACAGTGAACTTAAAGAAGGCCTTGTCTTTGGTGGCAAACCCTGAAGCATTGTTTTAACTTTTGTTGGGGAGGTCTTTCCAGAGCTTTGGGTAGTACTAGTTCTAATAGGAACACTTTCATTCTGAATAGTGGCAGATTTTTCCTGATCATTTTCAGAAATTTGAGTCGACTGAGGCACATGTTCGATAGCTACATTATTTGATAAAGTGGCTCTGGTGCTTATTGGGCCCTTTGGCGTGTCTACTACAATTCTCCTTGATTTTTTACTGTTATTTGAAGTCTCCTCATCTGAAGAGGCCTCCTCGTCCTCTTCATCTGATGATTCTTCGCTTGATGAACTATCGGAGGAGCTTTCGGATTTCTTGTCCATAATTTGAGTCATCAGCCCAACAGGAACTCTTGGTTTCGGTGGAACAACTGTCTGAATTGGGTTGGCTTTCTCATTATCTTTCTCGGTTTCTAATTTGTTCTTAGAAGATTCAGAGCTCATTTCACTTGTTCTTTCCTTTGTATTATCTGATTCTTCTTCTGAATTATTTTTAGTAGATTCCTGCTTTTGAGCTTCAGAAGATTCGGTTTCTGGAGTATTTTCCTTGGATTTTTGGGACCTTTTCTTTGCCAATTCCTCTTGTCTTGCTATTTTTGCAGCTCCTCTTGCCTCTAGCTTAGCCTTCTTTTCTGCTTCACGTTCGGCCTTCTTTCTTAACAATTCTTCTTGTTTAGCTTTTCTTGCTGCTTCACGTTCAGCCTTCTTCCTATTAGCCTCTTCAAGCCTTGCTACCTTTGCAGCTTCTCTCTGGGCTAATTTTTCAGCACGTATTCTTTTTGCTTCTTCCTGTTTAGCCGATTTACTACCGCTTTGTGTTTGACTAAATTGAATTGACGAGCTGTCAGTTTTATTTAGAGGAGTACTAGGCACAGGGATAGCATTGTTTTTATCCATATCATTTTCTTCCACTGCACTAGTTGGTTCCAGAGAAGTTTGTCTACTGTCACCCAGAAGATGATCATCCAGTATGTTCTTATATGCAAATACCTCCGATTTACTTGCAGAAAGACCTTCAATGGAGGATCTCATGCGTGAGTTTGGACGGCTGATACGTACTGTATCGTTCCCCACGTCTTCTTCATCATCCTCTCCAGAAATATTTTCATTTCCGACATTAGCACTATTTTGATTTTGTTCATACCCATTATCTGGATATGTTGGCTTCATTTTTGAGATTCCAATATTTCCTGCAAAGTTTATTTCTTTCTCCAATTCCCCGCCATCTTCTTCAATTTCATTGTCCGAAAATGTATTGATCCTTCTGGAGTCAGTACCTCCAATTACATTAAATGCTGTCTTTTGCTTAATTCTCTCTTCTAAGGATGAAATTCTTTGTGAATCTTTTGGGGAACTTGATGATATTGGTTGCTTGAAAATATCTTTCTTATCTTGATTAGAATAATGTTCAAGTTTTGCAATAACTTCGTTTTCGTTGGAACTGGATTCGTCAGATACAGCTAAATTTTCATCGATTGATGGACGGCTTTTCATTGGTATTCTATTTGGTTTAGCAGGTAGAAGTGATGAAGGACTTGCTGGACCCTCTTTTAATATTTTTTCAACCTCAGAAATCTTTGGTTCTGGAATAGTTAGCATTCCCGACGTTATTCTTGGTGTTTGTACGATTTTTCTTGAATTGTCCTCTGATGCGAATAATCTATTATTTAAATTGTTGGATTGTTCTGAAATTACCCTTTGTCCTGATAATATAACTCTGTTAGGTGTCATTGTTGGGATTATTGGAGTACCTGAAAGGAAACGTTGTTGTTTTGATTTATTTGGGTCTACAGTTTCCGATTTTGACACAGTATCTGAATTTTCTGCTGATGTAATGATTCTTTTTGAATCAAACACTGAACTTATACGTATAGCGGGAGATTGTGGTTGAGCTGGTGGCGGCAGGAATGATCTATTCCCGGCATCTTCATTATCTTCATCATTATCCTTATCTTGATTAAAATTTGATAATGGTTGAGGATAAATTTGATGAGCCAATGGAGTTGAAATTCTTAATGTGTTGTTTGTTGTGTTTTTCATCAGTTGCGCGGAAGGGCGTTTTTTTATTACATTCAATTGTTGTGAACCATTTGATTGTGCAGTTCCATTATTAAGCTTCTTTCTTTTCAAAGAGCCATAAGGTGATATATTGTCATCTACTTCATCTGAACCTAATTCATTTTTTAATATAACTCGTACTGTATTATCTAAATTAAATACATCTTTTACAATAAAATCGGGATCTAAATCACAAGAATTCGAATCTTGTAAACTTATTATTTCTATATCATTTACTAGATTTGGATACATTTTTTCACATTTATTCAAAATTTCTTCAGATAATTCGTATAAATTATTAATTGATTTTGTAAAATGTAAAAACTTCTTTGCATTATTGTTATAACTTGATGAAAAGTAATTTGGCAAATTAATTTGGCTCGTTGGAAGTTGAATACTCATAAGAGATTGATCATTATCATTAGCAATCAACCCATTAGTAGATTGTAAGGAACCCAATCTCGATTGAGGTATGCTTGAAAAGAGTGGTACTCTAGATAAACTTTGACCATTAGTATTTTGAACACTAGGAGGTACAAGTTCAATCTGTAATTTATACATAACCAAAATGTCTTTCTAATCTTATTGGACCTCCGCAAGTAAGCAATCACTGGTTACTTCTACCAAAATTAATATTGTTAAACTTCTATATATTAAGAATGTCTATTCTGCTTTTATTGAGATGAGATCAATAATATTTTATTTAACGTTTAATTTTTTTTTTCTTCTTCTTCAGAAGCTTAAATTTTTCATCTCAATTTTTTTTCCTTCTGTCTGACTTCTCATTACCATATTTAGGCCTAATAAGGAAATAACTTCTTTCATCAATGCAGGTCCTACCAATCTTTCTCAGTTTCGAGATCATTTGTTCTTGTTATTATGCCTTTTTTGAAAAAAGGAATACATTAGTGGGTAGGGTAACATTTATGTTTAATCCATTTCGGATTCATGAGCATGTGACTGGGTAGTTATCCAATAAAGACAAGTGTCGTATTTGGTCTCAATTAACTGCTTCTGCAATATTTTTGAAAAGGATGAAACCAAAATAAGTGTCATAATATATAATAATAATTAAAGATCTTTTTAGCTCGGGAAAACCCTTCAAACATAAAAGTGACACACACGAACCAGATTATGGAATTAAGTAAAAATATAGTGTGTCGTGTTGAAAGAAGTAAAATGGTGGAATCCAGATAAAACTTTTAAGTAGTTCCAGTCCTCTTAAATTCTTTTGTCTTTTTGAACTTTTTGTGCTCGCTAGTGTGTAAGAATTTTCTGTATTTTATCATCTCCTAGTTAATCGCCCTGAGCAAATTGACAGGGCTCTCATAACAAGCTGTATCTATAGGACGTTTGGTCGGCTTCACCCAATTAGGCTTCTTAGAAGAAGAAATTATCGGTGTGTGTACTTATCTTTATATGGTTAGATCTAGTGTCTAAGCAGCTACATCCCATATTCAGCATTCGTAATTATGGGATCTCGTCAATTATTAATGATCCAGATGACATGAAAAGATGTGTAAAAATATTTGGCATGTATAATAACTATATATTGAAAGCTCCATATACGGTAACTTTAACCTGGACACTCTAGGATCTGGTTTATATCGCTATTGCTGTTTTTCCTATAAGATGAATGTATCGATTTCTCTAATATATAAAAGGAACAAATTTTCAGTTCCAATTTATAAAACTATTTATGTTACATAGACTACTCTGTTACAACAGGGAGAGCGAGTTACCACTCACTGACCTCGGTAATAGGTCAAGGTGCCTATTTAACGTATATATACCCTCATCATAGTTTGAAGCTCTTACCATTTTGACAAGATATAGTAAAGAAATAACTAAATGATTCTCTACAAGATGCCTATTTAATGTATCTCTACTTCTTATTGAAACTTAAAGCCCTTCCCATTCTAACAAAACATGCTCTGACAAATAATATGAAACATCGTTAAGGCTACAACACCTATTTCATTGGTTATCAATGTTCGTATTCGATGATCTTAAAAGTATACACTTGTTCATTATAAATATATCGTTTTCAAAAAATTTTGTTGTATTATTTAGTGAAGGCATTCTAATAGTTTGTTAAGGTTCGTAGGACGTTGCTTACGATCAGGGTTAATAAGATTGACACCAGTCAGAATGTGAGATGTCACAATATGAGTTGGCTGCAACCAACTCATGAAGGAGATTAGGAAATATATAAAAGAATAGAGTAGATATGTATATTAGGAAGAGTTTCCATTTAGTAAGGAAAGTCAAGTAAGAAATATATATCAATATATTTAGTGTTGTATTTTAATCAGAGTTATTCATATTAATAACTAGTAAGCACATATTATACAATAAATTTCTGTTGTATGCCAAACCCTCTAGTGTGTGTCACCTTTCAGCTTAGAATACAACTTAATTTATTATTTCTAATTAGCAACCTTTATATATGGATAGCTAATATACATCTTAGTGATCTACCTACTGTATTTATATACCTTCATTATTGACTCACTTTCTGACATGTAAGAGTCATTCTTTCTCAACCCCGGACCTTGTTAGATTATCACATTCATGGTCCACACCTGAAAAATTTAAATTCCAAATTAATTCAAAGGCTTGTTCAAACAAAAACAAAATGGGGGCCAAATTAATAAAAAACATCTTCCCCCCTCTTCTTCATATGGGAAAAATCCCCCACAAAAGGCAAAATGGGCCCACCCCAAAAATAAAACCTTTTCCGGGGGGTGGAAATACAAAAAAAATTGGTTTTTTACAAAAAACACAACGGGTATAACTTCGAGTCCCATCTCCGTTTGGAAAAAAAAACAAAAAACCTTTTTTTATCTTAACAATCCTCCCCCCCAAAAGAAGATAAAAAACTCTCTTATTTATTCCCCCCCACACTTTCTCTTTTAAAAGGGGAGAGAAGGGGGTTTTTCCTAAAAACAAAAAACTCAAAACCCCCCATATGATGACTTTCATCCACAGAAAAGAAAAAAAAAAAGGGGTTCACATTTCTCACCAAAACAAAGATGGGATAATTTATTATCGTTAAAGAATTTTTCCTAGACGAGGTGCACTTAAAAAAAATTCTATAATGGTTCCAAAGTGAAAAAGTGGTGTTTCCTCTCAAACAAGAAGAAACATTTTTTAGTAAAAAATCACCTCCCCCCGGATCCCAAAAATAATAACACACCGACATTACGTTTCCCACTACACTTTTTATTATATCTGCAAGAAAGCTAATGCCATAAAACAATATAAACGGGGTGGTGATACTTATTTACGAACACAAATGATATTTTCTCCGCCACAATAGAAAGACCCCATAATATTAAAT